GAAGTTGCGAGAAGAGGCACGTGTATCACAAGAATATCACAAGAGAGATCATGATGGCGAGGAAGTACGCTGGTGTATTTTTTTCAGCACGCTGGTAGTCTCAGAGACGCGCCAGGCGTTATCTGGGAGGCGAGGCTGGGACTGCAGCATTCCCATTATGTCAGAGGGGAGCTGTTTGTTTTTAAGTAGCGTCAGGCACTGAGACAATGCAGGCTTCTCACATGAACTTGCTTACACCACAATGCTAGTAAATCATGATTATTACCCAACGGTTGCGTGTTTTTAATCATCAAAGTGCTTAAAATATTATAATAATGCTTGGCACTTCTCAACTTCAAAGCACGCTGCAAACAGTAATTAGGTCTAATAACCATGCTGTGACAGTGAGACATTGCTATCTCTTGCCTTACAAAGGCGCGGGGGGGTGTTAGCCCCTGACACGGTTGCATCATCCCGTGTGAGAGTGGAGATCTACCGCTGAAGGCTGCAACCTGATAAACTCACCTCCCTATAGGCAAATGCACCATGCCAGCAGCGGCAGGGAGGGCTTTGAAGATGCTTTCTGGGCTGGTGGGGAGGGGGCAGGACATTTTCAGCGCTCTTTCAGAGCACCTCCTTAAGACGGTAAAACCCAGTCTGATTCACATTTTGTTCCATGAGGGCCTGGAGCAGCTTTTGAAACAGCGTTGGAAAAAGCTTTACCCCATCTTGGCTTCCTGGCTGGTGTTTTTTCCCCACCCAGCAGAGTGTTGTGGAGACTGGAGAGAATAGTTGTGGACAGCCTGTGTCAACTGTGGGTCATTTTTCCTTTTGCAAGCCGAATCTTTGAGTTGAGTCCTTTTGCTAAAGCAACATCTCTCCTGTTTCTTCCTTTTAGTTTGCAACACTAGTAATTGCCAGACACATTTAAATACCAGAGACTCATAAACTGGCTAAATGTTAAAAGTGATGTTAAAAACCTAGAGCTGATTCTGATTTTATATATTTTTTAAAAGTTCCAAAAGCTTGCTTTCTTTTGGATGTTTGTCATGTTGGCTGCAAACACCAGTTGTGATCGTTCCCTGGGACAGAGTAATTTCTAGCTTGCATTTTATTAACTGCTAAATTATCTACATGAAACTTTGCACTCTTTGCTGGAGCGTTTGCAAGGTCTCTGCCTCCCACCTGAGGTGGGGGAACCCCCTTATCGTGGCACTCGCTACCCGTCAAATATGTGGGTGTCAGTCAAGAAATGTAAAAGTTATTTGCAACAAGCATTTGTTGTCACTGTGAGCACATAAGCTTCGTTTTCTACAGTAAAACAAGGCTCTAAAGAGCACTTGGGGGGGAAGAAAGGGCTTCCCTATAAAAGCTGGTGTTACGTGCCTGTGTGCGGGCTGCAGGCTGGGCGGCTTCTGCCTGGTCCCGTGGTCCCCCGCGCATTCCTGGCCGGCCTGCTGCTCTTCTGGTCCGGTGTGAAACAGAGCCTCTTCCTCGCTGCTGTTGAAAACTGGTCTGACAGGGGGGACGTGCCAAGGTGGGTATCCAGCAGGAGGAGGAAAGCAGCACAGCGTTTGTGAAACCCCGCGCTTGTGAACTCTGTGCTAGGCTGCTCATTTTAACTGCTCATTATTATTCTAATGAGCTATCGGCAAGTTGCATCAAGTTTTGTCAGAAACTCTTTTGACTTTTTTGTTTCAATAGTACGAAAGCAAATAGTAACCCGGGCTTGGCAATAGTCATTCAAAGGAAAGCCAAGCAGCAGGTTCTGCGTACCGGTGGGCAGGATGAGGTTACCTTCGCTAGCTGGCCAAGCGTGTGACTCAGCTGGCTAAAGCAACGTTGGTTTTTTTCTAACTTGTAATCTCTGCCCGATTGACAAGAATAGGTTTACGGCTACACAGAACAGGCTGGTGCTGTGCAGGCCCCCAAGTTACTCCAGGACCTTGAGAGGTGAAACAGCCTTGTCCAGAGCTGGGGGCAGGTACCCTAACCTCGAGGTGTTGCACCCGCCCTGCTGCACGGCTGCCCTGGGGCTGGGAGGTACCAACGCTGCGTCTCCCCGGGCTCTGCGTCTCCCCGGCTGCAACTGCCGGCACTGCCCTCTTGATTGCAGTTTTCACACGGCTCCCGGGCACTTGCAGAGTTTGGTGTTCGACCGTGTTCAATGCCGTCATTTAGTGAACTCTTTCGGAGGGCAAGTGGAACGTATGTTTTTGCCTTTATTACTAAAATGTAGTACGTAGAAGCCAATATATTGTAGCCATGGCTATTTGTGTGATAACTTGCTATTTCTTGTTTATGAGATAATTATTGTACGATCCCTGAATGAAATTCCTTTAAGGTAAAAGGCCTATCTTACTAATTATTGCTAATAACATGAGCACGCTGCTTGCCTACTTTATGAGTTTAAGCAAGTTGGTTCCCTAATAGGTGGCTTGGTTTTTTCAGCTGTAAAATGGGGAAAATGGTGGTTTTCCTCAGTTTTGAAAGGTGTTGCTCTGCGAGTGCTGTGTAAAACAGAGATGTCGTGACCAGGTCGGCTGTGTGGCCGGGGAGGCCAGCTGCCTGCATTCGGCTGGCGGGGGGCTTGCAGAGCGGGGTGTGAGCAGCAAGCAGAGGCTCACCAGTTGTGCGGTGCCTGCGGTGGAGGTGAGCAGCTTTGCTGCACTGGGGTGAAGTTGTTTCATGTCGCAGGGCAATCAGCTGCCAAACGCACCTGATAACATCAGCATTTTTGAGAGCCAGTCCAAACTGTTGGGTTTGCCTTGTTTGCTTTGGGTCATAGGCTTCCCGTTCCTTCCTGATCCAGGAAAGCTTTGACCCCATGGGCTCATTCTGCCAGGGATGCTGTGCTAAGGAAACAATAGGAGCAGAATTTGGGGTGTTTCTATCAACATGAGCACTGGAAGCTCTGCACACTGGGATACAGTGGGATAAGTGGGATGGATGGGTCCTCGCACACCTTTTGCAGTGCCTCAGGAGATGCTGACGCCTCCCCGAATTAGGGCATTCCTTTCCTGCAGAGATCCTGCTAGCAATAGAGTTCAGGATTTGTCCCTAACTATCTCTGCTGCTTCTAACCATATTGGGTGTGTGATGAGGGTGATGGCCAGCGTTTCTCCACCTGAAACAAACGCCCTGGCTCTGCACCAGCGGTGTACATGAGCACGGTGGAAGTGCTGCATTAGCTCATCCAAGGCAAGTCCCTGTTCTGGGTGCAGCCACTTCATTTCCACCATCTAAAGACAAGTTGTGTATTAAGGCTGGGTCTAGCAGAGCCAATGTGTCCTTTAAAAAGCCATTCTGGCCTCTCTCCTTTTCTTCCCTCCCTTCCATTTACCTTTCCTTTACCATTCACTTGAGAGGTTTAAAAACAGCTTGGATAATCAGGAGGGAAGATCTAGGGGTGGTTGCTCCTGCATTGGTCAAGAGGGGCCCTTGACCCCCTGATTGCTGTCCCAACCCCATGCTCTGTTTTGGTAATGTGTAGGATGGACCAGTTTTACCTAAGAGTCTCAGAAGAGATGGGACGGTCTCAGTGCATTGCCCACACCACCAGGCTCCTGGTCCCCACCAGAGCTACTAGGCAGCTAGAAAGACAAACAGGAGCTGACTCCACCTACCAGCAGTATGGAGACAGCAGCCCGTGAGATCGACAGCCCAAGAATGTGCACACAAAAGAAGCATTTCCCTCGGCCACGACAGTAAAACCGCCAGACAACCACATGCAGCATGTGATTTCCCAAAAGCATCAGCCCAGATCCCAACTTCTTTGTGCCACACACTGTTTCCCAGGATCAGATCACAGTGGCAACATGTAAAAGGCACTTTCAAGTACTGAAAATTAATCATATTTTCCTCAACATTGTTTATGGAAACCGTGGAGAGCACTCCTGCCCCTCTATGCTTGGCCAGCTGGCTCAGCTCGCCGGCCCTCAGAGTCAAACCCTCTGCAAAGATCGGTGGTGTTTATGGTGGAGCTGCTACCTTGCCTCGGTAGGAGATGTCCAGGCTTATTCTGTGGAGTAAAAGCTCCAGCAGCGGCCTGGGAGGGGCTCGTCTGTTGACCTGCAAATACAGAGCCTCTTGCCCTCTTCCTTGCTCTGTGTCACTGCTAACGGCTGCCAGTATGCAGCCCGTGGTAGGCACCGTGCCATCGGCTTGCCAAGGCTGCAAATGGCTCGTGAGAGCTCCCAAATGTTTGGGAGCTTTGGCCAGTGAGACCCTGGCACAAAGTGGAAATAAGGTGAGTCAGGATGAGTGCGGTTTTCCTTCTCCCTCTCTGGTTTTACACTGATAAAATGGCGTTGCTTTCAGTGGAGCAGCTCTGGTGTAAGACAGATCTGATCTATGGTATCTAAAAACTGGTTGGGCTTGGTGGTTTCTGAATTCCTGGTTTTAATCCTTTTTGTAGAGTTCCGCAGGCGCTAATGAAACAGCAAATGCTCGAAGTTGAAATCTCTTGTTTTCAGTGCAATTTTTCTGTCCTTCCCTCCGTCACATGTACCTTGTACTGCTTTAGTATTGCAGGGAGCTGTGGGAGTAGCTGCTTGTGGCATTGATTAATGTATTAATATTTTTAAAGGTGACAGGAACATCCATATGCAGTATCCCCTTGTTTGGTCCTTTGGAGACAAACACGTCACTGATGTTGATTGCAGTGGATGTATGCCTGCTGTGATTTCACCTGCTAAGAAAACTGTCTCAATTTACAAATGAGTCTTTCCCTCCAGAATAATAATTTTTGGGTTTAGATTTCAAATTTTCTAGGAACCAGTATCAGCTGGGTTCCATAACCGGCACTTAAAGTAACATTTAGTTGATAAGGAATTTGTTAAGGCAGGATGGAACCAAGAGCCTAGCCCTCACCCGTGTCTCTGGATGGACCCTCCGGGGAGGAGCGGGGCCAGGAACCGGCCACGCAGACAGGCGCAGCAGGGTGTCCCTTTCCCTTTGCATCCTGAAGGACTGGGTTTGGGGACGGAGTGCAGGATTCTGATGGTACCATATTTTAACAGGGAGAAGACTACGAGGAAAAGCGTTCTACAACGTCAATGGCAAGGTGTACTGTGAAGAAGACTTCCTAGTAAGTAAGATTTCAGGCATTTTTTTTATTGTTTTTAAACCAGATTGTTCTTTTATATTGGCTTGTTTGCTTTGAGAGACAGTTTAGTCATCTGGGGCCTCCTGCCAGTGCTGCAATCGGGAAGCGTTTACCACTAACTCATACAGGAAGGATCAGGCCCTTGGTTTGAAGTGGTGGCTATGAAACCAAGTACATAACTGTCCATAAGCCATCACAAAGTGTAAATTATGAGAATAAACACTGGAGCTGCTCAAGCTTGGGACTTGAATTGCAGCCACAAAGCCTCGCCTGCCAAGCTAGAGCTCAAAGTCAAACATCTGGGGAATACCCCCAAGAGGGGAGACGTTTTTGACTGGAGCACGTCATCGCTGTGTACAATGTTGCTTTGTTGCAGGCGCAGTTTTAATCGCTGCTCTGCTCAGAGTGATGTGGAGCTGCATTGTGATTAGCTAAAAACTGTTAGCCACGGAGGAGCAACTAATTTTCTCTCCATGTGCCCACAGCTTTTATAAATGCTTTACTTTAATAGAGACTGAGTCATGAAAAGAAAAATGAAGCTTGTTGCTGAGCTGTGTTGTTCCAAAAATAAAATATTTGTGCAATTAAAGGTGAGGATTGTGCAGTACACAGAGAATGATTTGGTAAGTGGCAGACCATTTATAATTAAGAGGACGGCATGGCTGGGAATTGAAATTAGGGAGGAATGATATATTTTAGCTCAGAGGATGATGAATTGGAGAATCAGTGTGTTGACTTTATACGATCTTTAGTTATTGAAATACCATTCGTTTAGAAGCTTGGGTCTTCCAGAATGACTTTCCGTTTCTAATGAAAATATGGCCGTGCTTTTTGCGAAGGAATTATTCAAACTATATCCCACAACAAAAATGTTACTGGCAGTTCAGCGTGCGCAAATGCCTTTCTCATCAATGCAATCCATAAAAATCATGGAAATTCCTAAAATATAAGCCATAGTTGCCTTCACATGTTACACCTTTACTCTTAGCCTACCACAGCTGGAGCCTGTTGAAAAGACCAATTTGGATTTTGTGTAGAAAATAAGTTTCTTGTTACAATTGAAATGTGTTGCTGTTTTGCTTGCATTTTGGGGAGAAAATTTTTTTTTCTCCCTTGCTTTTTTTCAGCTGTTTCTTTCCTGTGCTTCTGCGGAAGCACAGGGAGAGGGAGAAGAGGTGGAGTGTGAGATGCAAGGGCTCTCAAAACTTAGAGATTTTTATTTTGAACTGTGTTGGAATGTACTTTCCCCATGATCAAAACCTTTCATCCAGACTTATTGACATGACTGTTGTTATAAGCTTGTGATTTCAGCCTAAACATGAGAATTTTAAACCTAAAAATCTCAATCCTTTGGAAAACATCCAGTTTTCAAGGGATGGAGGGGAAACATCCTTAGTTCTTAGACATGTTCTGTAGTAGGCTTCTGAAGGGAGATACTTGCAGTGATTTTCCCACGAAAACTGAGGTTAAAGACCTGATAGGAATAAACTTTTTGCAAGTTAGGGAACTGCTGGGATGTTTAAGGCACAGTAGGTCCCACTTCGGGACTGCAGTAAATCGCACGTGAACAACGACGGGCAGAAAAGCTGAACTGGTTCTTGCTGTTAACAGGTCACGTAGGAAATTTTAGGGAAGAGTGGATAATATTTATGGGTTGTTTCTTATTGTAACTATTAGAAATGTTTAACATCCTATAGATGTCAGTATTTTAGTTCTCCTGCAGTACTGGTGTTCTCTGTGTCAGAACAGCCGGAGCAGAGTCTCCAGAGCTGTGGTTGATGGCTCATATACGATACCTGGTTCTTTAACTCCCACTGACTCAGGACAGATCAACTCCTCCTCTCTATCAAAGGTGATACATGGAATTCACTGCAATATTATGTGTGGGCCTTGAGAAAAGCCATGTTCGGCACCCAGTGTAAGAGCAGGGCTCTCCCTCCTTGGCTAAGCTGTCCCTTCCAAGGTTCATCACTGTGCTGGTGCCAGCCGCTCCAGGGCGCATCTCTTCCACCCCAGCAGCAGTTGCATTTCAGCGCTGAAATGCTGCGTGGGTCACATCTTTTAAGAGAGCTCAGTTGTCACTTAAAGCATAGCGAGTGCTAGAGAGCTTTGGCTACCACGTTGCTTCAAAAAAAAAATCAGTCTGTAAAAGTGTGACGTGAGGAGCTGCTATCATCAAGCGTTCAAAATCTGGCCTTTTCTTTGAAAAGTTTCTTTGATTTCTGGACAAAAGGTGTTAGAGAAACGTAGATGTTATCATTCATTATGAGCAATTTCCACTGCGCAGCCATAAAGCTATCCAAAGCACAGATACACCCATCAAAACCTTTGGCAATAGCCGCAAGGTACATTCTTCTAGCAAATAGTTTTCCCACATGTTTGCTCTTACTGAGGGCACAGATTATCTTTCTCTGAATCGGGCGGCTTATTTTGCTCATTCTTTCCAGGGAAGAAATGCTAGAAGTCTTTAGAGCCGCTTGTGGAGTTGTAGATGGAGAAGGGATGCCACATGCTACAGTTGTCCTTGTGAGAACAGTGCCAGCCTTCTGTGTGTGGGGTTGTGAACCGATGGGCAAGGGCTGGTAAACCCTTACCACCTGGAGGACATGGCGTACCTCTTCTTTCTTTATTTTTGTCAGCCTCCTGCTTCCAGCTCTGATTAGCTGCACATCCTCTCAGTTCTTAAAGTCGAGCCATGTTAGCTAAATGTAGTGAATGAATCAGATTTAAAAAAAAAAGAATTCCACAGATAATTCCACTTCTGCCTAAACATGGTATAGAGATTGCCTAATCTATGCAATTTCCAGTAGGAGCACTTCAGTAGCGATATCACACATTACTGAACTGTAAGGAGTAAAAAGAACAAACCCAAACCCCCAAACTTTTAATTGCTTTGCTTTCGCTCCAGGGAAGATACAGTTACTCTTTTTCATGCCACCTTAAGGTAGCAAGTCCAGCAATATCCAAGTCTTGCCTCAGCCCTGGTAGGATAGTTATTTCATGAAAGGAAATAAAATAAATGACAGTTTAATCCTTCCCTGAAAGCTCTTAGGACACAGATGGCTAACTAGCCATAACAGGGACACTGTTCCTGGTGAAGTGAACAAAAAATAAATGCCTTACTGTATAATAAATAATCCCAGTCAGATGTTCTTGTACCATTTTGTTGATAAATTGCTGCATAATCATGGGTGAAGGAAAAATAGCTCAGTAATTTTAATTTGTCTTTCCTTTTCAATGCTTAAATATCATGGAAAGAAATTTAAAAGAAATTACTGTTTTTCTTGGCAAAAAAGACTTTAAAAATGTCACCAAAGCAGCCTGAATCTTAGATCTGGGCGCTCTCTTTTTTTTTCTTTTTTTTTTTTCTTTTTCTTTTTGATAGGCTTTTTCTTTTTCTCTTGAGGTAATGAACATTATTGAGTTGGGGGTCCAGTAGAGGTTAAGAAATGAGAGAATTTCCCTCCAGGGAGGAGATGAGAGGGAAAATGAACCTTGTGACAGATGTTAGTTACATTGCTTAATGCACTACTGGAAGACACTCAGATGCTCTGGAAATAACCTATTGCAGACACCACAAGCTCCAGTGCATAGCATTAAGGTCACTCAAAACTTCCCCTTTTAAGATTCTCTCTTTCACTGTCTTATAACTTTGCCAAATTTAATCATTTAGGCTGAACTTCTTCACGCCAGGTTTTTGCCTCCGGCTAACTTAGCTGTCATTAGTTGTTGAAAGTTTCATCTAAAGCTGTTCATCCATTTCAGTGAGGAAGATCTGTCACTGTGCCCATAAATCCTCAAAGGGAAGGGCTCTAAAAACTTTGTTTTGCACATGCCAACTGCAGAGAGAGACTTAGTGCTTTGCAAGCCTCCAGGAGGCCTTTGGGAGTCTCCTTCCTACCCTGTAGGCAGCCTCTCAAGTCTTCCTTCTCTTCTCCATCCAGTCTACTGGGGTTTCTGATCCTTCGGTCCCCTACAGCAGCACCTGGTACCTGCTCAGGGCACTCTCCTTGCTACAGCTGTAGCCTCTTTCTCCAGAGTTGGTCACTGCAGTGCAAAAGTTGACTACAGAGATCATACAGGGCCTCATATCCACAGCTGTAAAACTCTCAATGGTTTTAAAAATGCAAATGTGTCGGGGCATGCAAGACTGGTAGGGAGGTGGCAAACGGAAATGATCAGCCTTTCGTGGGGGAAAGGGATAGGATATCAGTGGAGGACTAGCTGGGTGATGGGCAGCTCATGAGAGCAGGGCTTGCGCCTTCATCTCCTGTAGCACCAAACACAAGACCCTTACCCTAATTTGAGCCCCTGGGCATGGATGCAATGTAAATATTAATACTAACAAGGCAGTTGTTCTCAGTTTGTGCACGTGCTGTTTTCCGAGCCTGGCAGTGTGGGAAGTGGCCCGCCCCACTTGCTGGGGCCCTAGGAAGATAGTTTTTATTTAGTGTAATGGAAGCTGGTGTCAGCTGGAGCCAGAGGTTTGATTTTCCATCTCAGTGAGTATAAATGTTTGGCGATCCCCTTTGAGAGGTGAGCGCTGGGACTAGTGCATTAGTCAGAGAGCCCACTGCTGCTAAGTGAGACCCTCAGAAAAAATACACTCAGCTGAAAAGGTAAATGATCAAAGTTGCAGCTTGTGTCCATTTCATCTCTAATGGGAATCACAGTAAATGGAGTTGTAGATAACTGTGAGGATGTTGTATTTAGACTTGCTATTTGCATACTCCAGTCAGAGAACAGACAGACATGGGTGTTTATTGATACATTTATCAGAAAGATGGACTCAAAGCTTTGCTGCGATATTCCTGACGCATGGAAGTGTAAGGAAGTCTGTGAGCATGCTGAAGGCACTGGCGGCTCTAGGTTGGTGTCACAGGAGCTGCTTTCAAGTTCCAGAGGCATCGTGAATGCCGGGCGTTGCTGTGCTCCCAAATACTGTCACTGAAAACAAAGGCAAACAGATGATAGCGTGTTAC